CACGGTTTCAGAAAATAACTGATACTTCCTATGCACTTTTTATTTGACATCTACCCCCTCCCCCTTAAGAACTACTTTATTTTCATGATCAACATTCCAGATGACCTCCTCCCCCCTCCCTCCCTACAGGCCTGAAAACAATTACTTACATTCCACTTCAGAGGCTGGTCATCAGCCTTAAGAATACACTGGACATGAGTGAAGATGGTCACTTTCTGGGTGACCTCCCTGGGGTGGTCATCATCTGGGGCCCACACCAGGGTCAGCTCAGGACATTTACGGACCTTCTGGTAGGAGAAACTGCTCAGGGGAAGTTTCTGTATGCACAGAGCAATGGTCTTTATATATAAAATAAATAAAATATAAAAGATGTACACAGTTTGCACATCAGCAAAGATACTGTTCAATAGGAGAATTCCATCAAAAATTTGCTGAACTTTTACGTAAATGATGCTACAGAACTAAAATCTCTGAAAAGGATAACAATATATTATGCATTTACATAATTTAAGGGATCTTGGATATTAACGAAAAAGTCCAAAACTAATGCAGCTAATGAAATTTCCTATTAACTTAAAGATAAGGTCTAGCAAGCCAAACAATTTTTCAAAGTTTGTAGTCACAGTGTAACACGAGTGACGTAATATCAGCGTTTTGAGGCTAAAATGGTCTTTTTTTTAATCAAATATTTCTCTTAAACAAAAAGCCCTATTAATACGATTGAAATAGCTATCTAAAGGTTAGCACAAACTCCATAAGACTCTGTCAGGATTTTCTCTTTTTATTTTTACTTTTGATTTTATTTTGATAAAACGTGAATTTTACGAAATATATATGGACCTTCCAATTTCAGTATTAATAACTTCAAAAATAAATTGTCAATCCAAAAACCAAGACTCAGTCGACTAGATATTATACTGAAACAGAGACACATCAAATTTCATGTCAATCTGACAATTACAGAATGAGATATGGGAATTGAAGTTTAGACTATGTTATCAATCTTCAAAGCTGAAAAATCGCTCCTAAACTTATTTGCTCAGGTAATTGGGCTATTTAAGCAAAATAATTGCACCTCCACCTTACCTGTTATCATCTTGTTGATCGGGAAGGTCTATACACCATTACGTGTTAAAATTGGGTTGTTTGTTTCTATCTAGATGCCAGAAAATCTTACTTTTGTACGCAAACTTATTCGTACCACGAAAGCCGCTCTTCCCTGAGAAATGATTGACAGCTGAGTAGGTCTACCTACTCTCGTTTCACTGACGTAATTAATCATAGTTGTGCCTTACGCAGTAGGAGTCTGTGCACTGTCTAGGAAGTGTCTAAGGAAGCGCTTACAAACAAAAAGAGGATTACTGGGTGTGCCAGCAGAGGACAATGCCACCCGTCGTGCGTGGACGCCGCTCTACACACCAAGACGCGAAAATTGAGAAAGCAAAGTAAGATTTACTCCGAGAAATGGCCGAATGTGGGTACGTATATGTCATGATGCCACAGAGTGCCAAGACCGTAATATGCGAATTTGAAAATGTTTTGGGTAGCAATATTACTTAAAAACTTGCTTGCTATTACAATCTTTATTGTGCATAAAATGATTGCCTAACGATTTTTTTCTGACAACCCCAGACGTTGTACGAATACTCAGCAGTTCAAGTGTGATCTCGAGTCTTTACCTAGACGTGATTTAGACGCTATAGGATAAAATTTAATATATCGTTAACAATGTAATGAAAACAATATAATATCTGTTTTATAGGTATGATGGGAAAACATTTGCCCATAGTGTGGACATGACCGTGACGGCGCTACGTATCAAGGGGAAGAACCACAGGAAGATACGGTACCAGCATTATTGTAGCTGGTGGAAGGAGTTAAAGGTAAATAGTAGACCTGTGCTAGTTCTATATCAAGTGACACAAACGTGAAGACGATGTTTTATGCAATCACAAATAATATTTTATTATTCTGTCAATTAAAAAGGGCTCCATATTTATATTATCACGTAGGACCTGCAGTTTTGTGTTTTCAAATGTTTGCTTCACATCCACCTCATAACATGAAGATGCCAACCTATATTACCTTTTTTTTCTAGTTAAAAGGTGTTGGGCCCGAGGGGTGCCACTACTCATATCCAAAGGAGGTCTTGGGCTACATCCGAGCGCTTGTGCCGAATCAAGTGAAAGGAGAGTTTAGGGAGGTCAGTCTAACATCACCTTGTGTGTCATGTTTCTGAGTCAAATATTACATAGGCATGTAAAATATTAGAAAAAAAAAAAAAAAAAAAAGCAGTATAACCTCAATTTAGCTTTAAAAATACTTACCAGCAAGTACATGTATTTTTAGTATGTTATCCTCTCTTAATTAAAGAATTTATCAGTAATTTGTGCCAAATACACTCCCCATGGCCAATGCCAGTGAAATTTAGGAATAATCAAAGTCACGCCAGTAGATTTTCATCTGGTCAATACTCGCAAATTTGTAGATTTTGTTAAATGGTCAGAGGAGTGATACCTTTTACGCAAAATTAAGTAATTTACCATGAGCACAATTTTATTATATCCAGGGATTAATATGTAGTGATCACTTGTGGTCTTTTTTTATTCTAAAATAAATTAATCAGGTCTTATTTCATAGTAAATCATTCTTAATTTATTATCGTTTCAGACTGGCTATCTTGTCACCATGCAGCAATTTTGCAGGGCTGTACTCTAATCGGAATGAAGATACCGACATGTGCCAAATTTCATGTTTTCGCTTTTTTTGTAATTTTTATTGTATATTGCAAAATATATAAATAAAGGGTAAATGAAAAAATATGTTTTGTTCTTCGAGATTCGATACATTCATTTCCTTGACCATAATAAAGCTACTTTACAAACCCTTTTTTGCTAGGTAAAAAATCAGATTGGCAGGATTAAAATTTATTGGTTATGAAAGCAGTCAGAGAAATCTCAGTATTTCACAGTCAATTGATCTTTGTATGGCGGTAAATCATTTCACCAGGATTACACTTTTAAAATATGAACCTATTCTTGCTTTTTCTGAAAAGGGCAGCTTTATAGAAACCACTACCAGACTATAAATGAATTTGTTGCCCCATCCTGTAAAATTTCACTTACCAAGATGAAATTGATCATTTTTCTGGCATTTTTTTTTCATCTTGTCAATTTCTTAAAGCAAAGTTGTGTTCGGGTGAGGGGTCATCATTATTTTCCAATAAAAAAAAAACATGAATGCATGAGAATGGTTTCCTTTCATTTGTAAAGTATAAAAATTTAGAATACAGAAAAGAAAATTCTTTGATTTAGGTATTTTTACTGGTGCATTCAATTCCTGCCTTGATATACACGTTTCCAAGATTAAAATCAGTCACTCCACAATGACAATAACTTGGTCGATTGAAGCTACAAGATACTAGTAACACCAAGCTTGAATGAATGACATAAACGGTTTTCTATCTAGGTATGAAATCTGGGCGGACTGTCACCTAACAAGATAAGAGATCTGAAGTAAAAGATTTTATATTTACTTCTTTCTTTTTGGAGACAACGAAAAGGTTGCTAAAGATTTAGTGTAGGAATGAATCTGCCATACAAAAAAGTAAAGAGACCAGTCTAATCAATAATAATATTTTATTTTTTGCTCTGTCTGAGGATTTGTATATATCATATCACTAAAAAGTGAGTACAAGAAAAATAGAGAACATGCCTGTATGGGACTTCAATAGACGCGAGCTCATTACAATTATATTAAAAAAATCAATGTCCTATAATACTTAATTTCATGCACAATAACAGTTGATTTTACTATGTACACAATNATATTTTATTTTTTGCCTGTCTGAGGATTTGTATATATCATATCACTAAAAAGTGAGTACAAGAAAAATAGAAAACATGCCTGTATGGGACTTCAATAGACGCGAGCTCATTACAATTATATTAAAAAAATCAATGTCCTATAATACTTAATTTCATGCACAATAACAGTTGATTTTACTATGTACACAATCCTTTCTTGTGCCCCTTTCTTGGTTTCTTACAAGTTGTACACTTAGGTGCATTACGCGAGGATTGGGAGAATTCACCCGACTTGTATGTGTCCCCTTCCACTTTTCTGAAAGCATCCAGTTGCTGTAACTTCTGTCTTTTTCGCCCTCGTCTGTTCTCTTTATCAGCAGTATCCTCTCGTTTTGAACAAGTACTGATCCGAATTCTGTCAAGTTTTACAAAGCAATTTTTGGTCAATTTATTGAATTCAATCCCTGCACTATGAAAAAGTTTTTCATTTGATGAGCACAGTCCATCATTAAAATACATTACAGCCATATATAAACCAAGAGTTACAGCATTGCTGCTCTGATAAGAATCTTTTGGAACCATGGTCCACACCGTGGAATGAAAGCTTTCATTCTGATTTTGTGTCAATCCTCGCAAGCAGCCTGCTAGTAAAACTGGGTCCGCCAGCTCATTGATGATGGGTTGCACAACCTCTATAACAGCCGGGGGAAGGGGCTTCTCAACCTCTCTGTGTGTCGTGGTGCCACAAGCTTTGTCTTGTTGAAACTTGCACCAGCTGCTTTCACCTATGAAAGAAATGAAAAAATAAAAATAAGTATCAAATCAAGAAAAAGTTCTGTAATTACACTTTCACCAAAAATACATATCACTGTTTATGTTCGATTTGTTGTATAGGAAAAGAGTACTAATATACAATGTTGAAACTATAGAACATTTTTTATTGATAAATATTGAAGTAAAATATATCATTAGCTATGCATATTAGGTCACTGTACACATTTCAATTTTTCCAATAGTTTTTGTACCAGTTATAGATAACTGTGACACTAGGGCAATAAATATGATCAAATCAAATATACAGTAGTTATAGGTGGCTTAGGTTTTGATGAGGTGTTTCTATACATTTTTAGATAAACAGAGGGGGCAACTATGCCCAATTTCATCACCAGCTTACCTTCAGGACAATAACTGTGATCAGCAAGCTCGCTGTAGTGGCGGGTTATGGCTTGGGTCTCCCTGACCATCCCATCTAAATTACCGATGTTGCGTCTTATTGCCAGTCCATAAAATGTTTGCATGGAATCTATTCTGGTCATGGTGAGGCGTCCTGCTCCCTGAAGTCCCTTTCCATCGCTCAGCTTCACCCCTGAATTATCAATAAAATTTTGGTAATTTTTATACAGCCTTCACAAGCTCACTACCTATTGTTTTTATTTAAGATTTGAAAGCTTTTTATATAATGAAAACAAGTACTAAAATCGATTCATATATACTGATCGTGTTCAAATTTTACTTATCACAGAGAGGTAAAAAAACATATCATGGGCCATGGATCTGTTTTAAAGTTACGTATAAGTCTAAGCAATAACCAAAGCATGCAGAAATAGTGTTGAAGATAAGTCAATCCTGTACAAATTCACTTTTTTACTTCTATTTATTTTCACTATTATTACCTTTATTTCTTGCAACTAAGCGCCGAAGTCTAGTGCCCATTCGCTTCTGAATATGACCTATGCATTCTTCTTTTCTTATCTCAATGTCAGGACCATAGGGCTGCTCTTGCTGGACTCTCCGGAAGGCTGAGCTGTCCCCATCCCCTACAAATGGGTTGTAGCGTAATCCATACAGTTCCATTGAACGACTGTACAAAACAGAGGCACCCTCAGCTTCCATGGCCTGGGCTGAGCCTTCGTGGTTGCGGGGGCACTCCTCGAAGTGTTTTAGCTGAAATTCAACCTCTTCCGCCGTGGTGTGGGGCAGCTTTTGGAAATTGTCACATGTCCGACATGTGGTGCACATGTAATGAACGTCCAGAATTTCTCCTGTATCAACTGAAATTGCGGCAACAAAACCGTGTTTAGATAAGTTTCTAGTTTGCCAGGAACCGTCTATCGTAACCCCGCAGTCCACAATTTCCCCTGGATCAACATCACTCCCTCGGAGTACCTGCTTCACGCGAAGCGCAGCGCTATTCATGCTCTCCTGAGCTGTCTCTCTGGCGTGGTCGCCTAAGGCCTGGCTGTGGAGACGCCAACTGTTGTGTGCTACTGGAGCCGGCATAGAGAGGTACGCTGAGAGCTTTTCAGCAGCAGTGTTGCCCCTTCCAATTGCTCGCATGCCCAGTACGCTCGCCCTGTTGATTTCGAAAAACTTCCCCGTCTTTCGCGACGTAGAAGTCCAGCCTTCTTCGGGCACTCCACCGCATGCCGTGCATGCCCATCTCATTACACTGGCCCATCCCCGTCTCTTTTCCTTGTCTTCCACAAGCACCACGGCTCCACCACACGCGCGACATGCACAGGTCTTGGCTATACTGTCCTGGAGCTGCCCGCAATTCCATAAACGGTAACCCGCCGGCACCATTTCTTCTCCCTCGCTGTCGGAGCTCGACGATAAATCGTCCTTCAAGATTTTCCGAGCGCTGGCTCCCTGCATACGCGAAGACTCCCCTTCATGACATGTGGGGTTTCTCCATCCACCAGAAGCACTCTCTTTCAAAATTATCTTGCTTTCCTCGCTCATCCGTTTTCTCACGACTTTCTTTCTTCCCATGACTGTGTATATAACTGTGTTCTGCTTAGCTGACGTAAGACTTATGAGCTGCCAGGGCACGCGTAACAGCTTAAGAAGTTAGACAACCATTCTTGCCCCGCCCCCCATAGTAACGGTGCTTGACAACGGAGGCGGAGCCTAAAGCCTGCCACCCGTACCAGTCAGGACAGGTAGAAAAACTCGTCCAAATGTATATTTTTAGTCCGTGTTTCACAAATATAACTTAATTGAGTATTAGATACAAAATTGATTATTTCTAACGTATAAAAAACTAAAAATCGAGTTTTAGACGTATTTTTAATATCCTAGACCCCTTAANTATTTCTAACGTATAAAAAACTAAAAATCGAGTTTTAGACGTATTTTTAATATCCAAGACCCCTTAAGCTCTTTCATGGCTGATTGAGTGATCTATTCAGTTTATCCCTTGGCATATCGATTTTATTTGAGTCATATAAGAAACTAGTAGAAGTGGTTTACATGTGTTACTGGGAATCCACGCTCCACCGATGCTCAGTTCGTATACCTGTAAGTGCGACTTATTCTCTTTCATCACTTATTTTAGTTAAAGAAGAACACAAAGAGTAGGTATTTCTCTTAGTCAAATATTATTTATTTTCAGGATTTGGTTTGACAATGTGTTCAAGATAAAATGATGGTTAAAAAGTATTGTTCTATTACATTAAATGTCTATACATTGATTAATTTGTCACTGATTACAGGCTTGTAGCCAGCAATTTCAAAAGGGGGGGGGGGGTTCTTTTTCTGAAAAAGTGGACCTTTTTCTATAAAAACTCCATGAACCTAGATCAAATTTTACCCAGAGTGGACCTTTTCCCACCAAAAGGGGCGCTTCTTTTAACCCCCCCCACCCCCCCCGCCTATGGGCCTGGATTATTTAAAACAGGCTTGTAGCCAGGGGCGTTCACTGTTTGCTAGGAAAAGGTCTACTCAAGGTTAACTTTGGTAGAAGTACACAAAGGTTTCATGGTAAAAGATCCACTTTTCAGAAAAAGAACCCCCTTTAAAATTGCTGGCTTCAGGCCTGTAAAATGTGTATTGCATATCCATATTAAAGGCAAACAATCTGTTTTTTGATGATTATATAATTAAGGAATAAGAGGAGAAAAGCAGACATTGATGAAGTGTATTGCTAAGTGTTGTTGAAGCTTTTCTTATAATTTCTGAATTTTCAGATGTAAAAACCAGGAATGCATGGCTGTTGTATCTTGCTTTAAATTCTCTTATTACCTAATTCTTGTATTGCCATACACCATGTAACATTTTAGTGGTGAATAGTCATTGCATATGATGTAAAGAAGGTAAACTTTAATATTCAATTCCCAAAACTAAACTCCAAATGGAATAAGACCACACAGATTTAATTTTTTGGATAACTTCCTATGGACATCCCGAAACTAATGCAAGAGGATGATAAAAAAAAATGCTGCTTAAGTAAAGGAACCAATTTGAACCACAGAACAATGTTTCAAACAAAATGTCCTTTGTGCTGAGAATATAAAAATCTTAGCTATGATTGTTTCATCTCTGCATCTTACAAACATCTGAGAATACTTAAGGTCCTATTTAAGGCCACCATATACATGTACCTAACCCCCTCCCATTTCTCTCATCATTGCAAAATAATAATTATAATAATAAAAAAATGAGCCAATCCGGAGGGGACATCTTTGAGGTTGTCTGGACAATTGTTACTGGCCACTGCCAGTCTTTTGTAAATTTGAGAAAGTGTGCTATCCCTTTACTAACATTGATTGTACAACAATCTATAATCATACTCCTGATCTTTATGTGAACTTTAATTTTATGTATATATTTTCACAATGACATGACCTGTCAAATTACAATATCTGTCAAATAACAAATTACAAAAAAATTTCGGTTTCAGACAAATTAATTTTGTGAATATCCAGGTTTTGTGGCATTTTGTGGGATGCAGGTATGGATGTCATCCATCAAATAAATTCAATGTGGCCTAATGGGTAATTCCCTTTAAGGTTTTGGTGTTTGCATGTTTTTCTTAGAGTTTTCTGGAATTTTTAGAGTTTGTATCTACATGAAAGCCTTTATCAGATTGCATGCCTTTAAGTTGCCTTAATAAGGGTGTGGTCCGTAACAAATTTCTTTTCCTGTCAAAACATTTGCTATGTGTTGTCTTGAGATCAAATTAAAATTCATACTAATAAAACTTAAAATGACATTTTTCCCCAGAAGTATGTTAAACTTAAGGCAAATAAGATGTTAACAACCAAGTTAGTCCAGGTAAAAAATGCACCAAATATGGAATGTTAAAAATTTCTACATAAAAATTATGTGTACATGTACCATGCATTAGAAAATACATGAAAAGATTTTGTTGATACTACTATAATTTTTTACGTCTTACAGTGCCGTGGTACATGACATATTATTTTAGAACCATTGTCTCCTTATAAATGAATGAAACAAAAACAATACATAATCCCATGCTGCAAAAGAAAAAAGAAAAAGAACAACAACAACAACCAAAAAAAAAAAAAAAAAAAAAAACCAATACAATAATGATAATGAAAATTTGCCAAACAGTTATGGCAATTTTGGTCATACTCCAATTACTTGTAAATTCTATGAATTTTTACTTTTAATCTAATAAAGAATTAAACACTTCCTTAAAAATTAATAAATGGGGTATATGGTTATAAATACAAATTATTATGGCCTTTTATGTGCCTGCTTTTTAACAATAGTCTTCTGAACAAAAATTCAGAAGCAAAATTGAATTAATTATACTAGTAGTTAGAGGCAAATTAAAGGTTGTCCTATAGTTTGCACAAATAGTAAATATAAATAAAAAAAATTAAAAATATGCTAGTATCATGCCATCTTACATATGTTCGCATGTTTAATACAAACAATGTGGTCATTAATGCAAGAACTTACTGTTCTAATTTTCTTTAGCTTATTCATATCATGCAGTTTTTCGTTTTTAAATTAAATTAGATCCAAAATCCACATTTCTCATACACATCTACACTTTATAATTACCTCCTCAATGGTTAATTGGGTTCTTGCTGTATTTCATATGCAGACATGCAGTTATTCTAACAGCCAAAAGATTAAGGCAAAGCTATAGCTCTCCTTTTCTTTTCAGCAGAAAATCTACACCTTTACATTTCTTTCCTATTCCCATCCCTTATAAACTTATTAACAAAAAGCCCAGTTAAGAAATAGAAATACTTCTGCAACATGTACAATTTGCAGTATCTTGCTTTAAACATCTCCTATAATGTGTAAAAAATGAAATTAAATAGATGTGATGTTATCATCTCAAAAATGACACATCACATATCCACTGTTTCAAAGAGTTTCTTTAAAAAAAGGCCATTAAAACTGTGAAAATAAATCATTCAGTCAGAAAAATCATACCTGAATATAGTAGTAATTGTTCAAAAGGAAAATTTCCTTAACAACAATAAATAACCTGAAAAACTGTATCCATGGTTCATTAAACTACACTTTGCTTTACCTCCATAACTCTGTCAATAACTAACTAATGTGACATTTACAAGTTACCAACAATTTCACCTCTGCAAAAATATTTTCAGCAGAACCAAACAATAACTTGGTCTCCATTCCTAACCTGCTATAATAGCTACAGTAAATGCATTACCTTTACCTATATGTATTCATCAAATATAGATAGTACCATGCAGTACATATTTCACAGCAGCCTTTTCAGACAAAAATATAAACAGACTTAAAACTGCCTGCATATACATCTATTTACATGTCACAAATTATTTAATGGTGTGTGTGTGTGTGTGTGTGCCAATGCCAATCTGCGAACACTGCACAAAGCTTTCTCTTAAATTCAAATATGTACACAAAACACTATATCTGCAGAATATATACTGGTATAGTCCATGTATTTTGCCCAATTATAAAAAAAACATAACTTACAAAAACGAACTGCATATTCAATGTAATAGATCAGTATGCCCTCATACAAAAGGAATATATACTGCACAAATATCAATACCCACATCATACTTACAACATTTATAAACAAGATATTCACTTTATACATATGCACATAATATACTCATCTCCTCTACCTCACCTAAACTATTTCATTGTATACACTGACATTAAGATCAGACTGAAGCAGAACACATCAAACTGACATCATATTGTTGTCTATCTATCTATCTATCTAGCTATTCACTACTATAGCTATCTACAATATACCTATACATATAACAGTATCTACTACATGTGTATGTATATATTTGAGTAAATTATATATAATATTTACAGGAATGTACATTCACCTAAATTACTAAAAGTAAATTAACCATACTAGTAACAAACATTTAACTGATAATACTTATTCAGAGCCGCAATGTTTTTAATTGCATGCTCACATTGGTATTTACAGAGTTCACATTATGAACGAAAAGGTGATGTTTGCCCACCCTGCTCTAATAACCTTGATACCGCATCTATATCTCTGACTTTATAGCTCATCTATCTATATACATGATCTTTACATCTGTCTACTGTGTATGTATTTGAGTAAATTGTATATAATATTTACAGTAATGTACATTCACCTAAACTACTAAAAGTAAATAAACCATACTAGTAACTAACATACAACTGATAATACTTATTCAGAGCCGCAATGTTTTCAATTGCATGCTCACGTTGGTATTTACAGAGTTCATATTTTGAACAAAAAGGTGATGTTTGCCCACCCTGCTCTGAAAACCATGATACAGCATTTACATCTCTGACTTTATAGCTCATCTATCTATATACACTTCTGTTTCTATCAAACTGTATACAAATGTATGATCAATATAAGTACATCTACATGTATAATGTACAACTAGACATATTCATATATGACAAAAGAAGCTTTCATACATACATTTGAAACTACCTAATATTTATAATAACAATGATTTATTATAATTCTTATTATAAATATTAGGTAGTTTCAAATGTACAAAAGTTTCTATGCTAAATGTAGTATCTTTACAATAATTCCAAGTGCACATACAGCTATTTACATAAATCAAGTTGCCACTGATTTTAAATGTATTTTGAGTTTGTGGATCCATATTTACATTGTACATATCATACATTTTATGAATTCCCTGCAAATTCATTTGAGCACCAGCAGATTGTTTTCTCAATATATGAGAAGTCCCACTGCTCATATCACAATTGCAAAGTACATGTAAAATGTATATGTATGTCTTGATTAAAAAACTGCTTTGGAAAGGATGCTCACCAAAGATATCCATACATGCATTTCTCCAAGTTTTCAGGTGTGGTATTTCCCCCTGAAAATGCAAAGATGAATTAGTACTCCCCAATATCAATATTTCGTAGGTTTTTCTGTGCAGTCTTAAATGTTGATATTCCACAAAGACAAGAACTCCCTCAACAATTAATGGCACTTTAGTAAGAAAAAGCAGATGTTAGAATGCACACACATAACAGGCCCATAGCCAGCAAATTCAAAAGGGGGGTTCTTTTTCTGAAAAAGTGGACCTTTTACAATGAAACTTATGCGTACCTAGATCAAATTTTACCCAATATGGACCTTTTCCTGACAAAAGGGGCGGTTCTTTCGAACCTCCCCCCCCAACCCCACCCCCCCCCCCCCGGCTACAGGCCTGCATAACATGGCCAATAAAGAATGACTTTCAATGCTCCTATAAGTGATATTTATGCTACCAGTGCATGTACACAATTCAATGTAAACAATTCAACTTTAAAAGCAAAGCTTGAAATCATTTTTGGTTATCTCCTTATGGTCAACTCATATATTTTCATAAATCAAATTAATATAGAAGATAATATTCTTAACTAAACTTATATTCGTGAAAACTTACAATATCTATGTTCTGGAATATGTTTTTCTTTTCTGTTTAGATTTTGGCTTGACTACTGGTTGGCTTTTGGCTTCCTCATCTTTCATTTGCTGATAAATGAATATCGGTTTTAGAAGATACTGGTTCATTTTTTATTCTATTTATTGAGAAAACTTGGAAATCACTTGTGAGTACTTTGTGTTGTGACCATAAAATCATAAAATTTAAGGTCTTCACTGAGGAAACAAATATTTAAGTAAAAGTGTTTTTTCTTAACTTCATAATTATATCTTGTGGTAATCTTTATTTAACTTCACTGACCAGTAATTACAGTATTTTACAGATTTTACATCATTGAAAATTACCTTCATTTTTTCTTCTACATTTACTAGTATTTCATACACATGTTGAACCTGCAAACATTCTGGGATACATAACTTCAAGTCCTTTGGTTTCTCTTCAAATGTGCCCTCTGGCCACAATGAGGTACTGCTCAGGTAACTCACCAATGGTTTGCTAGGGTCAGCACAAGAGGACTGCTCTGTACTTGAAGTGTACCTGAAAATGAACCTGCGAACTGCTCTTGTGAAGTCCTCCAATTTCAGGTCTGTGGTTTTTAGCAAAGGGTTCAACTCTTCAATCTGGTCAGGTGATAGTTTTGTTCTAAATTCATCTGGGAGAGCATTAAGAGCAGTTGTACTCAGTATGTCTTCTACCATCTCATAGAGTGACACTATGTGGCACAACTTGACAATGTCTGGTGGAGAAGGTAGAAGATCCTTGGGAAAGGGTGTAGGAAGCATTGACAACCATTCATCTGTATATGCTACTAGAGATTGTTCTGGAGACCCACCAGTCCGTTTTAATAAACAGATAACCACTTCCAAACTGGTGAGTAAATCTCTTGTGTTCTTTTGGCTTTTTTCCTGTTTTTGATTGACACCATTGCTAATGTCCAATGATATTTCTGTCTGGGGAATAATTTTTGCAAGATCATGAAGAATATTATCTGAAGCAAAAAACATTTCTCCAGAATACTGAAACAATGGGAATGTTGAATCTAATACAAGGAAGCTTTTTCCAAGAACTAGTATATTGCCCAATTCCATCTCAATTTTGTCATAGTCAAAGTGAACCATTTTCCCCAATCCATAGCGTGTGTCACACTGTGCATGCTTCAGTAAATCCTTCTTCCACTCATCAGTCATTTCTGTACATATAACATCCCGTAGAGTTGCATCTTGAAGTGGAACCTCTTTGATAATGGAAAGACCTGGTTCATGGTTCAGGAATCGTACTGCTGGGCAATGTGTGGTTACACTGAACATCTGCACCTCAGCAAGAAAATTGTTCTGCAGTTGCTTTAATATGCAAATGACTTGATAGATGGGAGAATCTTGATCATTGATAATAACCTCAGCAATGGAGACCTGATCATGCATATGTATCAAACTTGTTTCCAGACCAAGTTGCTTTAGAAGTTCTGCATGCTGCCGTAGTTTATTCCATGATTCTACAAATGCCTTAAAATATTTCGAGGTATTTTCTTGCACCTTTGTTGTCTTGTCTCCAGAATGTAGGATATCATAAATCCTGTTCTCTTTTGCATATTTTCGCTCAAACTGACGGCTTTTTAATTTAGTGAATGTTTTGTGCCAAGTTAGTAGATTTGTCAAATGTCTTAAAAGTGTAAGACTGCTGTAATGTTGTAGAAACAAGGCTAACAAAGGATATGACCCACCTAGTTGTTGATTTGCAAAATTAGCCCCAAACAGTTGAAATGTAATTGGACTGGTGAGTTTGAACAGCCTTGGCAGGTACAAGTCAACATTCAGTTGGTTGCTGGTTTCTTCCATTTGTGCTGCCATGCAATCCTGTGGGATTACCATTTTCTCAAAGCACTGGATTTTGAATGTACGGCACTTCTCCCTCCAGTCTTTGAATAGAACAGAACATTTCTGAGTAAAAACATCTTCCCATTTCTTAAGACTTTCCAAAGTAGCAAACTGACCTCTGATAAGAACACTTTTTTCTGTAAGTAACAAAACATGTAGGAATGTAGCCAGGTCTCCATCTTCTGCTTCAATCAGTATTTTTAACTGTCTCCAGCATTCTTTGAAACCAAGTAAATATTTTTCACTTAGCCTGGGAAGATCTTCTTGTGAAGAATCTGGCATTGGAGGTGAATATAGGCAACATGCTTGGAAAAGCAAATTACACACTTGGTGAGTCAACGGTGTGAGACCTCTGACACAGTTCAATGCTTTGATTACTTCTTTGGCACCAGGGGAGACATGGCTGCTGCTTTCTCCCTCAAAAATGTCCTCTTCAGTGGGGGCCAATTTCCTATGACAAAGGGGGCATTTACATGTAGAATTTACAAGGAAACATAATCTGTTCCAACATTTGCAATCTAGTACATACACTGGAGCCATTTCCATGGTTTGGGTTTTCAAAAATTGATATCTCTCCATCTTTTTGCCAATATCTGGGCAGCCTGGTGTACATGTCTGTGATAAAACAAATGCACCTGTTGCTATACATCTAAAATGCGACAGTGTATCTTCTTTGGATGTAAACAACAGGCTAAGCCAATGTATAATAAATGCTGCTTGTAGAACATCCTGATCACTTGACTCAGTACTTATATGTAATTGTTCACAATCAAAATCACAGATGCCCAGCAGTCCCTTTAGAAGGGCTGTCACATGTTCAGGATAATGTTGCAACTTTTCAGCAATATGCTTTGCAGTGGTGTTTTCATCATCTTCCAAACTTCTTGATGCACGAACCACATAAAAGGTTTCAAATACTATACCCAAAAGTGACATCTGGCGGGCAGGTGAATTTTTAGCCATATTTAAGAAATCATCTAGCAGATAAGTTTCGTTCTTCACTATGGATGTGCTGACTGCTAGTTTTGCTTCCTGGTAATATCCTGATGTTGCAAATGGGTTGTAGCTTATCCTTGGTAAAGTAACTGATGGTCCCCAGTCCATATTTTTCAAACTTATGAAGGACTCTGCAGCTTTTTCACATATGTGCCGAATACCTTCCATGCTGTGTTTTTGCCGCAGCCATTTCAGCAGAAACCTGACAAAAACTGTGCTTCTCTCACTGCAGTCTGTATCAGTAATGCATCGTGTCAGGGCGCTGAAATCATCTATGAGAAATTTATTGTTTGCTTTGCCTTCTAAAATGTTTTCTATTTCCTGGTCAATGCTATAAAAAAAGGATTTCACAAAGGCAACACTTGCTACCAACTTCAAAGTAGTTTTATTGGCTGTAATAATGTTCTCCTTTGATGAAAAAATTATCTTCATTTCCATCTCATTTTGCACATTTTCATCCCAACACATTTTCAATGACTCAAAGTACATGCTTGTAATTACGTCAACAACCAAAGCTGCAAGAGAACTGTTCCAACCATACTTCTCAAAGTTTGTTTTCAATACATCATCCAACTGCTCCAATTGAGAATTTTCCTGAAAAACTTTTTGCTCATCTCCATCGATGATTCTTAACAGAAGTTCCCCATCTTCATCTTCTGCTTGCAGAATTCTTTGTAGAACAGGTCTAAAATAACACAGGTTTTCACCTGGCATGTTTCCTTCTCTGACCAAGTGAAATATGTCCTTAAACAAATCTGTATCTATTTTTGCATCAAGAATTCGACCAAAATACATACAAAGGAAAAGTTGCAATCTTTCTGCAGGAATTTGGTTTGCAAGATGAAGTTCATGGATCTTTAAAAGCACTTTATGAAACAACTCAGCAGATTCCATAATCTCTTCTGTATCATGCACTTCATCCATCAAAATGAAATCATCTGACAGGTTGTGTGGAATCAGCAACACATTCATGTAGTCATTGCAAACACGCAAATAGTGCAGCACTGATGGATATTCGCCATTTTCACTTAGTGACATTACTTCTGAAGACAGTTGCAGTAAAATATTAATTCTGTTGTGCCAGTGAAAGGCGCCATTGTAAAGACGAAGGACAGATTTTGTTGGTAAAATTCTTTTGCACACATGCTCAACAATAAGTTGTTCTAATGGTTTCTTTTCCATACAATCGCTACTTGCAAAATGTTCTGTTGTTCCATCCATATCATCAACTTCACCATGTTCTGTTTGAAGGGTGTCATCTTCAACAAAATATGTGCTTTCTTCAAGGTGTTGTTGCAGAGTAGGTGTCATTTCTTCTGTGTCTGCGTGATCAAGGGTTTTACTGGTGCCATTTGCAATGCATTCATTTGTAGCATACACTTGGTTACTATCATTATGACCTGACTCAGGTGTTTTGTTACTGTGCAAGCTTGACATAAGTAAGCCCATGGATTCACCCTCTGGGTAATAGGTTTGCTGTAAAGATCCATATGAGTTTGTCTGGCTCTGCTCATAGCTTTCAATAACTTGTGCAAGAAAACTGTAGGCATTACCAAAAATGCCATGAACTGATGCTAGAAGCTGCAAAAGTGAACCAATTAGTCCTTTTTTTCTCCAAAATGCCAAAATGGCTCTTGTTAACACACTCTTTCCATCATCATCAGCATTTACTTGAAATGGGTGCAGTAAAAGAGTTTTCATTGACTTGACTCTGGTGTCTTCGTCCAAGGATGATGCCAATTGTGCAGACTGTAAATTACAGAAATCCTCCAACAGATCAGCATAAAAAGCATCTATGTGACAATCAACCTCACACAGACAGCCAAGAACAGCTGGTTGGAAGCGAAGCTGTTGCCACCCAAGAACCTCGCCCCTAATCACTTCATTTTCATCTAAGTTTTCTTTATCTTCACAAAGTGCTTTCAGGTCATCTTTAAAAAGGGATTCAACTTGGTCTAAACGGGCAAACAACACTTTACTAAAGGGAAATTTGAGATTCAACTGTTGGGAATCGCACACATAACACCCAGCATGCAAGGGTCGCTGCAAATGAGAGATGAGAAGAATATCTGGATTTTGAAATAGCTGCTTCCATATTGTCCGTTTCTGGACATCTGCTTCCTTATCACCTAAGTAATGGAGAAAACTAGCCCATGCTGATGAGCATTCCAGCTGGTAAACTATCATAGCTAAGGGCCACGACAAGCACTGCTTTACATGCCTTTGCAGTGCTTCTTGAAGGGAGCTTGAATTCCCCAAAGCCTGCTTGTCACATACAACATCCAGTTGCCATGCATTAGAATCAAACAAAGACCTTGTTTCAGAAAATCCATTCACTGTAAGCCAGTTCAGAATAGCCTCTTCAAAGCAGCCCATAAATTCTTTGGACTTACAAGCAGAGCAAATGATATCTGTGACAACATCCAGAGATGGTTGTTTTCCTGCATATACTATAGGAGTGCTTAGAGCCCACAGGAAATTTTGCTTGATGGTATCATGTAAAGAAACATCTCCTTCTTTCAATATGTCCACGATACTTTTCTCTAGTAGAGCATGCAATTTACTGTTTGGTTTGTCAAGACGATCTAAATAAACTAACAACCATCCCGAGAGAAAGTTAAACTGCCAGCCTGTTTCAGAAGAATTGTGATCCATGTGAACAAGGATGCAAACATGCTTCTTTAATGAGGAATCAGTAAACTGCTGCACATACTCTTGTCTACAGTTGTCTATAATGGTCTTTGCCAACAGCATATGTACAGCATCTGTCGTTGGCCTACACTGAAAAATAAGCAAATCCTCTTTATCTTCAAACCAGTATTTCTTAAGCCGTGTTGTAAGTTGCTTCTCTGACTTGAAGGCTCCTAGTTTTATGGACAGGCAATTGAAAGGAGGCCCAAGTTGAATAGGGGTATGGATATTGCTGTGCGTCATAACAACTGTCTTGAAACCAGGTCCGTTATCCCAAGCATCTTGAAGCAGATCTGATGATGCTTCATTGTCTGGCATGGTCAATGTAGTCTCTAAAAATGTCTGCAGGCCATTATACAAGGGGTACTTAAAATACAAATTTTGCATCTTTCTGACCTCCTGTGGCACACTTTTTCCCAATCTCGATCTTGTTGCTCGGAATATTCCTTGCGGTGTTCCAACCAGAAGCAGCTTCCTTTTACAATTTTCAAGAACTTCTCCAGTGTCTAATAGTTCATCTTCTCCTGGGCATTGTTTTGCAACCAATGATGCTAAACTATCTTGGTAATAACCTGCAAACACATCTTCATGATTGAACTGAAGGCCTTGTATTGTTGAGATATCACACACCCAATTATCCAGGTCTTTGATAATTTTTTTCCGATGACTGTTAAGTACATCTCCAAACTTGAGAAGCTGCTTTTCAAACCTGTTCAGAAATGGAGGATCTGAGTAATCAACTTTGCTTTGGTCAACAAGTACTATGCAGCGGAAGTCTTGATGTACATGGCACATTGGATTACTGTATGCACCTAGTGCAATGCGACAGTTACGCTTTTTTCCCACGTTAGTGTAATTTTGATTCAGCATATCATAAAGGCTTCCATATATCTTTTCAAGATCTCGGAGTACAAGAATGACACCACTTTCCATACACAAAATGATTCTGCTTAAAATTCTGTAATTGTACTCTTCTTGTTGATCTTCCTCGAACTGGCTTCCAAATATAACTACATATTCACGATCCAGCATTTTCAATGATCTTTCCAATATCCCTATAGCCGAGTCACCATTGGTGATAAGCATCAGATGTCGAGCTAGTTTATCCTTGAGGTTTTGTCTCACAAGATCATCAACATTGACATCTAACTTACAGCCTTCCCCAACTTTCTCCATGAATTTATTCACAATGTCATTTTTTTGGGCTGGGAGACCTCCAAAATTCCGCAAGAGACCCATTTTGATTCGCTTTAGTCTCACATCTGAGTCCCATTTATCCCCAAAAGCTTTCTCTTCAGTTGTGGCATACTTGATAAGAGAATAATAGTCCCGTAGACCATGGAAGTTTTGATATTGTTGGTTTTTTTGGTAATCATTGTATGCATCAGCAAGTGGTCTGAGATATTCATTACTCTCATGTTGACAACCACCAGCTGCCCCACCTATTGATAAGGCTGTTTCATATAGCTCAGTCTCATCAAAGTCTGGTCTAGATAGATGAATTGCTCTATTCATTTTTGCCGCATCTAGGGCCCAGTTAGAAATGCCAACGACTGCTATGTCAGGAAATTTACCATGAGCAGGTTCCAATAAGCTGTGAAGCACTTTCAGGGGATTATGCTGGGATATCTCAGCAAGCCCTACTTCATCAAGCAGCACAACTGGTAGAACATCTGATTGAAGGTTGTGCTTACTGTAATTGTTAGCTTTGGCAAACACCTTTTCAATTCCTTCTGCAGTTGAAGACTCAGATCCCTGATATGAGACCACTAACAGCTGAGGCAATCCTTTGAAAAATGGATCACGTGAATCTTTACCTCGTAAATTGCTGCGAATCAACTGCATAGAAAGTGATTTACTACAACCTGGTTTGCCAACAACAAATATAGGGATGCGGTTCAGAATCGAAATAAGTATGACAAACACATTTTCTCTGAGGGCTGTATTTTTAGCTGTTCCTTCAGGTAGCTCCATTCTGTCCAAAAGATCTTCTTGCTCCTTCCGTATAATACAAGCAACTGTTTCAGCATTAATGCAAAGTTCCTTTGCAATAACCTTTACAAATTCTGCTCTGGCTTGAGTGTTACAAAGACGTACATAGTAACAATGGGCCAGTGCTAATATGATGGCTTGGTCCTCAAAAGACAGGGTCTTGCATGAACATTGAGATGCGGTCTTGGCAAAACAATGAGCATGAGGTGGCTTATTTGGTGAAGCACTTTTCTTCTCAGGTAGCTTTTTCTTGAACCACTTGATCAATATCTTGCATCTGTGAACATCCCGAAGACTTACACATGTGTAACTTTTTCTCATTAACTCTTGCGATTCTACAATCCCACTAACAACCTGGTCCTGTTTTGTTGAATTTATATCTTCAACCATCCTTTTGATATAATCTTTCTCATCCATAGGCTCCAAGGTACCATAATCCCACACATAGTCTATCATGTTTTCTGGAAGAGGGAAGACCCTGTAGACTAATTTTGACTGGGGGTCTGTCTTTACTTTACCCTGTAGGCCAGCAGAATATATCTGATGTTCTTCACGATGTCTGTAAGGATTACAAGCTGCAATGCACACTAGATTGGAAGATAGTGGTTGTCCTCTGCAGGACCTGTGGCAGATAATTTCATTAAGGAAGCCGAGGAATTGAGAGGTATTGATTTCATCTAAGAATAACCAATATGACTTGTCAAGGTTTTCTTTTGCCTCTTGATCAATATCTGTTACTGTCTTGTAGATCTTTTCCTCTTCTACACCAGCATGAATGTTAAACGTTTCGAGTTTAACATCACAGGTCTCAGCAAGATATCTTACGAGACTTGTTTTGCCACACCCTGTTTCCCCCATTATAATGACTGGAATCCCTGCTCGTACTCTCATGATAATCAATGCCATCTTCAGCAGATTATCTGGTGTCAAAGCATATGTCTCTGCTATATCTGTACTTTGAGAACAATTTGGCTTCGTCCTTGCTATCTTCTCCAGCATTTCTTTCAACTGTTTCTGGGACAGATGCCTCATCTCTGGAAGTGGTTTCTGGGATTGAGTCCAGAAGAGTTTCTTTATTTTTTGTGGAACTTTATCTAAGGTACGATACAACACTGAGATTGTTTGGAAATCTAAACTATGAAAAAATACCAAAAGATGGTTGCTATCACTCCACCTAATCATACCTTCTACTCTATCTATCATACATTTTGTACTGTCTGCTGCTTTTTCTTTTTCAGTCTGAAGCTTTTGTATTTGCTCCATGTGCGACAAAGTTAAGGACTGCTGCTCCTTGCAACTAGTGATTGATCTCGCAGAAAATTCTTTTGAAACCTCTACGAGTGCTCTCACAAGACTTGATCGTACTGTCTGTGGTTCATCTACGCCAAGCATTGCATCAAGACTTGATGCTTTGAAGAAAAAACTTGCAGAGAGTTTCTTCAATTGGTCTGACAGGACATTGATAAATATGTCAAGAACAGCAAATGACATGTCTGGATTTGAACTGAAATGTTTTGCAAGCAGATGCTGGCAGGTTGATCTTGGTAAAGGTATTGGAGCTTTCTGGTCATGAAAAATGATATCCTGGTTATCCAACGTTGCTTGATCCAAAGCTTTCAAATAATGGCATACCACCTGCACTGGACTTGTGATTTCTTCACTCACTTGCAAATTTGCATAATTTTTCCACTGCAAATGCATTCTGTTAAAACACATAATGGCACGTAAGGAATTAACAAGACGATCCCCTATTGTATTGCCAATTTCTATGAAGATGCTATTTGTAGGCATGTGGAATAAAGATGTCCCTGCCTTCACTGTCCCTATGACCAAAAGCTCAAATATAAATTCATCCAAAGCTCTTGGATCATCCACAGTATCAAGGCTCAAATGGAGTGCATGGCATTTGTTTACTTTGGTGTCAACCAGTCTCTTCACGATGACATCTCTCTTGAATGGCCCACTTATTGGAAATGTTATAACACCCTGTCCAGCACTTGCAGTTTTTTGCAAAATTTCTTCTGTTTTGCCAAGCCCAGGCACTTCTGAGGTTACAACTGTCACTGCTCTATCAAGCTTGGATAGACACTCACGGAGCATCCCATCCTGCATTCCCTGAATTCTGTGGGCAAACTCAGAAAATTGGTCAACCAATGCATGATGAGCCCCACCTCTACAAATGATAGCCAGGAGAAATTCTTCATTCTTAAAAATACCATCTTGTTGCAAGTAAGACTGAATTTCATCAACAAGATAGAATTGCAGATCACCTGGTAGAACTTCAACATTTGCAATACAATATAAAGCTGGTCTCCCATGAGACTTCATGCAACGCCTTAAAAACAACTGAATCTCATCACTACTTGTACTCTGATTTGCAAACAAAATTTGATGGGGTTCTGGATAAAGTCCGATAGTTGAGGCATATAACTCTAGAATGACTGGAACAATCTGCTGACTTTCTCTGTCCAATGTTGCAACATACAATTGCCCTGGTTGAACTATGGAATCCATAGTTCCCACTTTCTTTCCTTGGTCTTGTGAATCTCCATATATTGGTCTCGAAATAGGCTTTGTGGACTTGAAGTATGTTTCCAATGCTTTACCAATCTCTATCAAAGTTTGATGTGGATTACCATGTGATTCAAAGGAAGTGACACCACTAACAAACCCCTCAGGAGCCTTGGTACCAGGGCAAATAAAGGAAAGAATCCCTAGTGCCTGTTCAGAAGTAGAACCAACCTTGTTACATGTAAAATAGTCATGAAGTGTCCATAACTGGTCAGCATGAATGAAATTCAGATAATAATATCCATCCCTTGCACGTTGCAGATCTTCATTCCATTCATTTAAGTCTTTCTTCAGGCTCAGCAATGTATCCTCTAACTGATACATTTCTAATTGTGTTCTTTCAATCTGTCGATATCTAAAATGACCAGAAGTGTGTAACTGAGTGCACACAGAGGAGATTTCATAAGTAGAATCCACAGCTGCAATAAACTTATCTAATTCTACCTTTTCCAAGGGAGCGCTAACATGGTCATCACTGGTCAATTTTGTTTTTTCTGCATTGACAAGAAGAAGTGCTCTACTTCGCAGATCATTCAAGTCATTTATACCATAACTTGTTGTTTTCTCATCGATCTTGCAGAATACTGTTGCCTGACAGACATGGTCACTATAAAGACCAAACTTGAATTGCCCTACCTTTAATACATTTCTAATGATCTCTTTGGTCATTTCTCCTCTATTAGCAACATTTGCATACAGAGCCTTTAAACTATGTAGATGATCCATACAGTTGCGAATTTTTCCAGGCATATCTTTGGGACCATCATTCACACATTGCTGCAGTGTGTAGAAAAAACTTTCAGGCTGGGTCAGGCATGTGCTTTCAGATTTTATAAGCGGCTGGATAAATTGCTTCACTGCGATCAGATCAGAGACTGTGGATTCTGAAACAAACTGTTCAGCGTGTTCTTCAACTGCATCTATCAAATTCCTGATGTCCTCATCAATAATCTCTCTAAGAAATTCCAGAAGTGCCTGTGATTGTGATAATTCTTCTATAACATTCCAAGTTTCTGTTTGATTAAAGCCTTTGCTTACTTTATGGACCATATCAATAGCACTGCTCAATTCAAACAGACCCATTTTCCTGGGATCATCAAAATATTTCTGAAAGTTTACTATGGCACAGCCAAATTCACTGCTTTCCTCAACTGTCACTTTACACGCTGTAAGAACAAGTTTCATGTTCTTGACTGATTTGGCTGTTTTCCTTAATGCACGTAAATTTCGAAGTCTTTCAAGAACTTTATTTGGAAACATCCGTTTCTGTACCTTTTCTAATAGTTTACATTCTTCCAAAGGGTCACTACCATGGAAATTTTGTTCTATATCTTGTAACAGCATGTCTTCATCGTCAAAAAAGCTTTCAAATATCAAACCATATTTGTGAATGCCCTGTGTAGCAATTTGTACGACATATGATTCCAAGTCCATTTCACTGACTGCTGAAATATTTTTATCTGAAGATCCGCTTGATTCATCTAAAGATCCACTTGGTTCAGCATCATACAGCATACCTGTTGAGATTTCATTGTTCAACTGGCCCTGATTATGAGAGACAACAGGCTGTTTAAGACTGCAGCAAACATTAATGAAAACTGCAGATTCTAAGTATGGGAAAATTACCTTGGCAGGTTCACATAAGCCATCAAATGCCCCCCAAAATGATTTGAGTCCAATTTCCTTGATGCTGATATCTGTCTCTCTTTGCAGTTGTTTCCAACATCTTTTAAT